GTCAGTAATGTGCTTGTCTTCTTTCTTTAGGCGTCGGAGCGTGAGGTTTTGTTTAGGATGTTGAGGATAAAGGCGAGGTCATTCTTCAAAGACCAAGGTGGATGGGTACTCACTTGTGAAGATAATCGCTTTCAACAAATCTGTTTGATGTACTTGAATATCAATCTGATGACCTCTGTCAGAAATGCAACTGAAATTCTTCTTCATGCATTGGAGTGTGAGGATTTGTTCGAGACGGTGGGGATACAGTCGGGGCAAGTTGTGAAAGTTTGAGTAGTTGTATACTTACTGGAAGTGATCAAAGTACTGTGGAGCCGTCTATTGGTCGTGATAGAACGTCTATCTGATACTCTTTATCAGAGAGAGTAAGGCTCAGAACCTTTGGAATAACTAAAAATGCTGTAGGATGTTGGGATGAGAAGCCACAGTCTGTAAGATGAAGAGATGGCCGTATTGCGTTGCGTGGGAGATGTCTTTTACCTTGCAGCAGACACTACCCCTCGCCGACTAAGCGCAACCAAGCTGCACACATTCACTGCTAGCAAGAGTAATACTCTAAAGCACATGACTACAGCCAGGAACTTTTATGGACCAAGTACTACCTTCACTCCCGGTGAAAATGGAGAAAGTGAAAGTAACATAGTGCAGAATATGAATCAATATCCGAGTATTCAGACTAATATACAAGTTCAGCAGATCTGATTTGAGACACTCTAGATAATCTAGCTATAGAGAAAGTAAACGTCCTGCTTAGGCAGAGATGCACTGGTAGTAGTAAGGGTTGTACTGGTAGCAAGTAGCGCCCTCAACGCAAGAGGTAGCTCCGGTCCAGTTGATACCACCGCACTGGCCGTAGAGAGACTGGGCGGCGCCGCTGCTGCTGCTGGTAGTGGTGGCTCCAGAGCTGGCAGAGGGGGTCTGAGGCTCAGGGACGGCAGCAGGGGTGGTGGCGGCGGCGGCGGGAGGAGTGACGGTCACAAGGGTGGTCCAGGAGGAGGGCACCTGCACGGCGATCTGGGAGTAAGAAGAGCTGCTGCTGGGCTGGGCAATCTGAGTGTTGGCATTGGCGCTGGTAACGGCAGCAGCGGTGGTAGCAGCAGCGGCAGAAGAAGCAGCAGCGCTGGTGGTAGCCGCGGCGGCAGAGGTGGCAACAGCGCTGCCGCTACCGACAACAGCAGTTCCGGTGGAGGTAATGGCCGAAGTGGATTGGCTGACAGAGACGGCGCCGCTGTACTGGGTGGGGCCGGGGACGGCATAGGAAGACAGAGAGGTGTAGATGTTCACAACGATACCAGCCTCATCCTCAGTGTAGAGCTTGGTGCCGAGGGTACCAGCGGGCTCGTCAGTACCGGAGCCAGTGACCTGGAGGTTGAAACACTGGGGGTAGTTCTGAGCACCATCTTCAGTGCCGGCGCTGTGGAGAGCGATAAGCTCGTGGCGAAGAACATAGTTGCCAGGAGCAATGGTCGGGGGGATCTCGACCAACCAGCTGTTGTTGTTGGCGATCAGCTGGTCATCTCCCCAGGTACCGGGCACTTCGGTGTCACTGATGAGACCGACGCCGTCGATCTTGAAAAACTCAAGAGTGGTCTTATCAACCGTCTCACACTCACCGTCGCAGCGAGCGAGGTAGTCAAGGACAGGACCGTGGTGGGAATCGGGCCACGCGGTCCACTGGATGTTGATCTTGTCACCAGCCGCAACAACAATGTGGGCCTGGGCGTTGGTGGCATTCTGGTGGCAAATAATGTCATCGGTACCGTAGTCGCTGGGGGAAATGAAACCGTTGCCAGTGTTAGGAGTGGTCCAAGCCGCCACCTTAGGGGGATCGGACTCGTAGGGGAAGCTGTTGATATCGAAGCCCTCGTAGTAAACACCGTTGACGACAACGTTAGTGACGTGACCGTGTCCAGCCACACGCGTGGCAGACAGAAGAGCTGTCAAGAGGGACAAAGACTGAGCCTGACGCATTTTGACGAGATTTGTTTAGAAAAGAGTTGGAAATAAAGAGAATTGGTTTAGAGAATGGAAGTGATTGAAACTGAAAGAGTGAGCGACCCAGCGCAACGAAAGTGAGAACTTCAATCGATGAAGCCCGAAGGAAGGAATGTGATAGAGGTGGAAGTAAAGAAAGACCTGCTGATGGAGAAGAAAATGTTTCCACCGAAGAGTGGTGATGACGGTGTATTTAAGTTGTCCAAGGCATCGAAGGCGGATGGCTGTGATGGAGTAGGATAACAAACGGTCAGGAGGCTAGACCGGGACCACTACCGCACTTGGCCATTTCCGGAGGCGCCGGAGCAATTAAGGTGAGGGTGAAACTGTCGCATGACGGTTAGGGCAAGGGGCAAGTGTTTTAGGTTGGCCGCCGATGGGGTTGAGAACGAAGCTATTCCCGCACTAGGGTCTTGGCTGTCGGAGGTAAAACATGCCATTGCGGTGACAGCTTCTCGGGTTGAAATTTCTGTCCCTTTCCGTCCTGCTTCTACCGGTCGGACCAAACGCCAAATGACTTGAACAGTTTAACACTTTGCTTGAGAAGAGAACTGATGTTCACTTTGACTCACGAACTGTTGCATGAACTGCCGTGACGGCACAAACAGGCTGGCCAGCAGTGGAGAAGAGTTTCGCGTGCGCACCCAATAGTTCTCGCGGACTATGCCCTAGCTCCGAAGCTTCAGACGACTCGGAATCAAGGTGGTCCCAGCTTCAACTAGATTAGGCCTTGTTCTGCGCCCCTTCCAGCCGCCAATCAAGACCCCTCGCCTTTTTGACCCAGCGCAGTTTCTGCAGTATACCAGTCCCTGCTAAATTTCCCAACACCTCAGGTCTATCCGAGCACCCGAGTTAAGCCTCCAATCGCAATCAAAGTAAGATGTGTATGTAGTCTCTGCCACGCGGTAGTCGAGCCAACGGACTTTATCCGGCCTCGGTGTTTTACTCCTAGAGAGTTGCCCCACAGTCGACTCGGACACGCCAGTGGACATGTGTGATAGGTAGACATTCATGAGCATTACCGTCGTCCGTGATGCAGTTGCGTGTTGTGGTTGCAGGTCTCGATCGTATAATTGGAGGTCAAATGATGACCGGTCGTTCAAGCATGCTTAACAACCATACAACTGAATCAGGTTCTTGGTCACGAGTGAAGCAGCCTGCCAGAGCCAAGTAATTGGGTCAACTGTGCCAAATACCTTCGGGTCTTCATTCTCAAGGCCCGGACGTTATCGATAACTCCGTTTGACAGATGCGTGCGGCCCCGGCACTCAGCTTTGAGAAGCCTACAACACACAAAGCGAATGTGCTCCAGAGCGGCGTATCTGCTGACACAGACTAGCCTGATTTTGGTCTTCGATTTGCTTTATGGGACTTCTACTCAAACAATTTGCGATTTTCGAAAGGCGGTCGATGACAGAGTCTTCCGTACAGACAAAGCAGAGGCTCACGGACCATTACTCGGGCGCCTAGGCAGGACAACGCACACTCATCAGCGCCAAGAAGTATAAAGGGCTCCGACACTTGCATGATGAAGGACTCCTAGCTCAATCACGGGCAGATCGGTCAGTGTTCTTGGGGGCTCCATTGAGCGACCACGTCTAACCGCTGAATTTCCAGTCCCAGTATGTGGCCTACGTGATAGATGCAGGGAGGTGTGTTCAAAAGAAGACAAAAGGCCGACGAGAAATCCTATCATGCGGAGACGGTCAATACAGGAAAAGGAAAATAGAACGTCGTGATCAAAGAGAGGGAAGAGATTGAGGGATTTTGAAGTGGTAGCAAAAGTCCGCAGAGTGTTTGACCTTCCATCTTAAGCCGGTCACTTGACTTTCGGTCACATGCTGATGCTCTCTTTCCCACCAACACGCCTTCCAGAACATCTTGAACTGGACAATCCTCTTCTTCTGTCATGCGGAGCACTCTGGGTATATTGAGCTTGGCGAGATAGAAGCCATGGCTTTGGTCCTAGGGAGGATGCAAATGGGTAAGCCCCGAAGGTTTGTTCCACAGCGCACACCACAACTACTCTCGCCGCTTATCGGTCCCTCTTATTACCGGCTCAGTGTTGCTTACTGACGCTATCCAGTCATCAGACCTATTCTCTTTCCTAGTGGATGACAGCACAATCCTCCTCCTCGAAGATGAACGTCTCGACCACGGTTCGTCTAAAAATATACGAGACTATGCCGGTCGGCCGAATCTGAGAAATACAACACAGCGACTGCAAAGGCCGACGGTACCGTTAGCGAGGCACTCGAGCTGTACAATCAAACGAGCCTCTTCGACGACTGGAAATACTATACCTGTATATACTCAAACTCAAAGGCAGGGCGACATGGGCGGAATAGTTGTTGCGCATCATCGCAAGGAATCCCTATGACAAGGGTCTTAGCGACGGTTTCTGAATGGCCTGGATATAGTTTGCGCTCCAGTAGTATGATTGGAGGACTCTTGGGACGATGTCACAACTAGATTACTGACGAGCCACGGTCGCCTACCTTGGCACGGCTGTCGCTTCAAGGCACTCGGACCGAAATATATAGACGAAACCTTCCACTATACGACGACCACAGTACACGAACAAATCATACTTAGTTCAAACGATCAAGAACAAAGAGCATGTTCAACGCTTGCTGCAGCGCTTCCCCTATCATGATGGCCAGGCCTGATGCAAGCCGACGACTTCGGCACCTGAACTACGCAGATTGTGTCACAGCCGTCATTTCCCATGCGCCGCGTCAAACCTGCAGGGGCATCCGCCAACCACGGCACTGCACGACCCAGCCCGCAGGCTCCACCAAAGCCTGTTTTGGAGGATTAAGTCATGTCAGCCTTATGAGCATATGACATCACGGCCAGGGGCACCCCACTTCATGGCTGCTCAATGTCAACAAGCGCTACTTATTTTTTTTCTCCTTCTTCCTGACTCTTCTTGTCCTGTAAAGAAAGATTGTCTTCAGAAGACAATTTCAGAGACCTGCGCATATTGTGCATTAACCTCTAGAATGGCACAAGGCAAGCCCTCCGCCATGCACTACGAGATAGACCTCCACCAAATGCCTATCGTCGATAACCTCCCCACCTCGCTGGAAGGTACGTGCGCCTGCTACCTCCGCAACCACCGGGCCCTTCGCTAACCAGCAAAGAAGACAACCAAGAATGCATCATCTGCTTCGAAGACCTCGATTCCATCAAATCGTACCGCCAATTACCCTGCCAGCACTTCTTCCATCAACCATGCATCGACGACTGGCTGAAGCGGCCGAACCCAAGCTGTCCAATCTGCCGACGCACGTTCGAGCACCTGCGTCGACCCTGCAAGACCTCCACAAGCCATGTTCCCGTCGTCGTCAATAGTAGCTGGGCCACCGTCAGTCCTCTACCGCGATACCTGCTGGTCGTAGGACCCAGCCCCGGAGCACCCGAACTCACTGTCCCGGCCATCAGTACGGAGCCACGCGAGCCCCCGCGACAGTCGGTCCGGGCGTGGTGCAAGAGAAAGTTAAAGGTTGGACGTGTTGCTTGAGCGGTGCTGTTGAGCTTGCTGCGGCGGGGGCAGCCTTTATGGTTTCTTTTACATGGCGTTCGGGGGGTCATGATTATGATGATGGTTGCTTTTACTGTTTGGAATGATGCGCTGATCGACATTCTTCTGATTCCCTGTTTTTAACCCGTTAGATTCCCACTTCTGTTCAATCCTACTTTCATGAATGTTAAAGTCGCATATCCAGCCACTAAATCACAACTCGTCGCTTAAGCAGATCCATTCCTCTATGCTACTGATGGTTTATGGCACTACTGTCAATAAAATGTGGATCTCAGTTCACAATACATTGGGATGTCGGAGAATTTACCCGTCGACATGTCTGCCGGCGAGCCACATACCTGAGCATGCAAGGGGAGGGGATGATGTAGGATCCGGTAGTAGTTCAACAATATTCCCACCTCCTATTCATATTTATACCATCATGGGCCGTTCCCCCGTAAGCCTGGCTTCTGGAGTAGCTCAATTGACTTTGCTCTCCAGGGGGGCTGATAGGCGCACCATGTCCCGAGCGCGGACCAACTCAGCAATGGAGCAGCCGGACCCAACTACCACCACCACCACCAACAAACAACCTCCCCTTTTACTTCCACCCAACCCACCGGTGTCAGCTATCCCCGACACGGAGAAGCAAGACGCGCAAGCGCAGTCAAGCTCCGCACAATGCATCGACGACCCGCCCCCGGACGGTGGCCTCGCCGCATGGTCCGTCGTCTTCGGGGCGTGGTGCGCCATGTTCTGCAGCTTCGGCTGGATCAATAGTATGCCTACCATGCACCCACATCCACACACTATCCCAGCATACACCAACACACCTCTGGACCCGAAACCACAGCGACACCAGAGTCACTGACAGCCAAAAAGGCATAGGAACCTTCCAAACCTACTACACGACCACCCTCCTCCCCCAGTACGCACCGAGCACGATCGCCTGGATCCCTTCCCTAGAAGTATTCTTCATGTTCTTCATGGTTTGTCTCGTTTGCTCCCCTTCCTTACCCTTCTAGCCTAGCGAGATAAGTCTTCAACACTCCACCTACCCACATCCACTAACCACAATCCAACCCCCCCGCAGGGCCCAATTGTAGGCTACCTTAGCGATACGCACGGCACTCGCCCCGTCATCCTCACGGGCTCTGCCCTGCACATCATCGGCCTCCTCATGACCTCCCTCGCGACCCAGTACTACCAGATCCTGCTGGCCCAGGGCGTGTGCAGCGCCATGGGCATATGCGCCATCTTCCAGCCGGCCATGAGCGTAATCCCCAGCTGGTTCCGGAGGCGCCGGGGCGCTGCGTACGGAATCATCGCGTCGGGGTCGAGTGTCGGGGGCATCGTGTTCCCGATTATGACGCGCAGGTTGGTCGTGCAGGTGGGGTTTGGGTGGGCAATGCGGGTGGCGGCGTTCTTGATTTTGGGCTTGTTGGGGGTGATATGTTTGACAATTAGGGATCGGGGTGCGGGGAGGGGGAGGGTGAATGGTGGTGAGGGTTCATATGGAAAGGATGGGAGGATCGAGAAGAGAAAGAATATGGATCGCGAGGCGGTGTTGCGTCCCTGGCGGGAGGTCAAGATGCGCTTTCTCGTGGCGGGGTTCGTGTTGCTCACGTTCGGGGTGTATATCCCCACCAACTTCGTGGAGACGGCTGCGATCAAGAGCGGGATGAGGCTGGAGTTGGCGCAGTATGTCGTGCCCATGTTGAATGCGGGGAGGTATGTATCACCACCCCATCCTCTCGCCACAGCAGCAGAAGATGCTAATAGCCGACGAAACAGCCTCCTCGGCCGCATGGCTGCGGGTTTCCTCTCCGATAAAGTCGGCGTCTACAACATATTCCTGCTGGTCTGCACCATCACCGGGATTCTGATCCTCGGGCTCTGGATCCCGGCCACGACCGACGCGGCGAATATCGCCTTCGCGGTGCTGTACGGCGTCACGTCTGGCGCGTACTTCTCGCTTCCGCCGGCCCTCGTCGCGAAACTGGCCCCTCTCCCGGAGATCGGGTACTGGACCGGTGTGCTCTACCTCTTCTCCTCGATCGGGGGGTTGACAACCAACCCGATCGCGGGGGCAATTTTGGCGCAGGACAATGGGTCCTACACGGGAATGAAAATCTTTTCGGGCTTGCTCTTGCTGGCGGGAACGATGCTGGTCTTGGTAACGAGGATCCGAGAGACAGGGTGGGTTTTGAGGGCCAAGTTCTAGGGTTAGATATTGTGTGGTGTTTGCCGGGTGGGTATGCTGTTGATGGATTTTCTCGATGTAAAAAGTCTCTCCATGGATACTGAGCGAATGGTATATACAGTGATCTCAGTTGTGTCCGCTGAGGAATCGAATGAATATACATACTAACAAAGCATGTCCCGTTTCCTTTTGTTGGTCAAGTCAAATCTTATTATCAGGCGTGGAGCTAACCGAGCCGCTGCACTACCCCTGTAGGCTCAAGGATAGGTCCCAGTCAGCTACTCGACCTGAATATCAGGATCAGCCGGAGAAAGCGGAGTGTAGAATCGCATAAGCTAGGCCATGGCGCTTGAGAACTTAGGAGACCATTCGGTCGAAGTATTCGCGCCGACAACATCTCTCTTAGAAGATGACGCATGTCCACTCTTCCCAGCGCGACTATATCTGGCTGATAGCCCTCTCAGTAAGCGGGATGCTCTCTGTACCTCGGCTGAGCCCACCTGTAGACTTTCCAGGAGCTTCAACAGTGTTCCATCGGTGGAGGTCCGCAGATTGTGAAAGCCAACGACAAGAATAGATGAAAGGCTTTAGGAATATCGCGGCCCAAAGGTGATCCTCCTCGGTATTACTCCCGCTTCTGAATTGCTCAAAACTTCCTCAAAAGTCGTCGTTTAGGAATGAAGGAACAGAGGATATGGATCGTCTCCAGGAAGACCTTCATAAACCCGTCCTCAACATCTTGAACATGTAATTCTCGCATCCGAGGTAAGTGATTCTCAACAACCAAATTTGGCTGCCTCACGTCAGGCTCAGAGGGGGCATTGTTGCGGATGATCTGGACGCTGGCATCCAGAACGGCTTGCACGCTGTTGTTGTCTAGCTTGGAACGAAGACCATTGACTAATGACTCGTAGGCTCGCAACGTTCGATGGTAGTTAAAACGGTCAATTTGTGAACGCTTCTGTGTTTGGGACACTGTCGGCCCTTGCGACGAGCTGGCTCTTGACACATCAATGTCGCTAACACGTGCGACTCGCTTGTTTCGCGTTGTTGACGAGGTGCCGATATCAGTGGGCTTGGCATTGGATACACTGTGACAGCGAACTTGGTCAAACCCGCTGCATGAATTGATCCTCAAAGAGCCAAACAGACCTTCGCACGGAGCGCATTGTATTGATCGCCCCCCGTTTGGTTACGTTGACGCTTCATTCTGTTTTCCTTTGCGTCAATGAAAGTGCCTGACGCGTCGCGAAACACAGACCTTCCTTGTGAACACAGTTCACATGAACTTTTTTTTGTGTACACGTGGAACGTTCCCGCGGCACGTGATGCCAAGCCCTTTATATAAGCAGGAACGTTCCACACGACCCTATAAATTACTGTTTTTTATTATTGAAATTCAACTTCCTCTTATATTTCTCCAAGTTCATTACACACTTTATTTCAAGCACTTACCAAGTACTTTATAAGTACCTACCAAGTACTTTCTAGACATGGATTTTCATGAAGTTATTGAACTTAGTTCTACGGAAGAGGAATACTCAACCCAGGTAATTTCCTAAGTAGTTATCAAGTACTTAGAAATTAATTTATATCTAGGAACCGTCACCATTAACCTTTCTGACTCAGGCAAAGGCATCACCTTTAACTACTCAGTTTATAGAGTATATTGATGATCTTCCTGAGTATCCAAAAACTGCACTATGTGGATATACATATGTAGTTCCATCACATGGACTTTCAAATACTGAAGTCAGCGCTCTAATTAGTGATGTTAGTATATAACTACTTACCAACCACTTCCGAACTACTTGCTAACTGCTTAGTAGATACAGTATAATAAACGTCAAGCAAGCGGCTTAAAACGAGCAGTCTTTTCACCTTTTTCTTCAGTGTCGGGTTAAAAG